TTCCGCCTACACCTTCTACGACGAGAACGCGAGGGCCAGGACGATACGTGTGAGAGATGTGCTGAGCACGTCGGGGAATCTTAGGTACTCGTACGAGGCTGTGACGAACACGTGGGTAACTGCACGTAGGCGCATGTCTCGACTTCTGTTGCAGACAGCTCCCCCGCCCTCCCCACCTCTTTCTAATATAAGCTTGTCCACGAACTCAGGGCCGGTGGTGCTTGCGAGTGAGAACGACCGCGTGTCTGTAGCTCTGAGCTCGCCCTTGAGCAGGGCCGAACCGACGGCTCGCCCGCTTATCAGGCTGCAACAGCTGCGGTTCGACGCTAGCCAGCCGCTTGTCTTACACGTGTTCATCAATCAGCCCGACGCGACGGTCGACACCCCAAGATCGGGAAATCCAAACTACGTGACGTCACTGTTCAGCATACTGGTACACATCTAGATGTGTATAAGAGACAGATACATAGCTTTTGGTTAAGAAAAAAATATTTTTTTCCTGTCTTTTTTCATTTTGTTTTACCAGTACGTCTGGGAACTGAACGCCCGGTAGTCCGAGCCTCGGCACGGATCCGCCTACCGGTCGGCCGAGGCTCGGACTTGATAGCTGGGCCAGGTACTGGTGGTTTAAGAGATATTGACCGTTGATAGCAAAGATCAACGGCCAAGATCTCCTAATTTGCGCAAGTGGGACCTTGCCCCGGTGCTCTTCCCAGTAGGCTTCTCAATTTGAAGAGTTGAGGATATGTAGTTGCTCCCCACAAATAGATCCCAGCCATCCATAGGTGGTCTCCAACCCCAGTGTTGCTCTTGTCACCTCTACGGAAGTTGACCGCGGACGGGTGTTTCCCAAAAAAAAGGGACATGTAGCTGGCCGCAACTTCAATGATTGTTTCTTTCGGACTGTACCGGACATGTAGCTTCCCCCGAACATAAAGCACCCTCATTTTGCCTGTACCGGACCAGAAAGATAGCTTCTATACATTCATGATCAGGGTGCGTTATTCCATGGTAGCCTTAGGACTGCTGGTAGGCTCAGGCTCTTCTCAATTTATCATGTTGCTCTCGAGCTGCACACCACCTGGTCAGTTAATCCCCTGGAAATCAGGGCAATCAATGCTGGCAGGATGCTTACTTTGCACAAATATAGTCCACCTGTTCAGTCAATCCCTTGGCAATCGGGGTAATCAATGCTGGCAGGATGTCATTTTATGATTTTACACAAAGTTCTGATGGATACTCAGGTTTTTTTTTATGTAAGAAAAGGGACGCTGGACCCCATTTCCAGCAGGTGTGGCTCCCCACCAATAGACTGGAGCATTCAGGAAGACTGCTAGGGGGAGGCGCTCGTATCACTCTCCCTAGCAGCCCGACTGTCTTAAAAAAAAAAAAAAATTTGAGAGAARAATGTAGTGTAGTTAAAAAAAAAAAAAAAAAAAAAAAAAAGATAGTTGCCCGTTTTCCCTCTGCACGTCCCCCTGCAGCTCCTGAAAAATTGAATCATGTCAACAGGCGTTCTAGTTCTTTGAAAAGAAAGGAAAGACAGAGAAGAAACTGTAGCTTTCACAGACACTTCAAAGTTCAAACACTTCGAGTCTTCGTCAGAGGTCAGACATTTTGGCATTTCGCAGCCTGACAGGGATTTCCTTCTGACAACTGCAAGCAATCCCTGTAAGATCTCACTTGCAGATGATTTTGAGTTTGACCCACTGCACATCTGCACCCCCACCCCCCCCACACCCTTCCCTCTTCCCTGCACCCCCACCTTCTTCCTCACTCTCCTGCCCTTCCCCCTTCTCCTCTCACCCAATCTCCCTCCCATTCCTCCCATCTGCACATGCCAACTGAACCAGTTTCCGCTGGATCCCAGCGGCAGCACATGTTCATTGCACAGTTCATCATTTTATGTTTTCTAAGGCTCATGCTCCACCAGCGTCCGTGAGGCTTCACTGCCCACGGATGTCGTCGCTGTTTGCGAATCTTTCCAACCCCAACGCCGTCATCTGAGGGGCAGTAGCCGATCAGATAGCCTCAGTGAAGCCGCCCGCAGCTTCAATGGACCTGTGAAACACTTCTTGGAAAACGATACTGTGCTGCCCCGTTTCCAAGTTGAGGACCCCTGAATCTTCCGCAGCGGATCGCAGGCAAGTAAGGAGAACTGGTTTCTCAGTGAAGACAGGCGAAATTCCCAAAAGGGAATTTTCTCAAATTTGGAGACTCTTTGAGGAAACTCCTTGAAGTAAGTCGGTGGAGCATGACTTCTTTGGACTTCTTTCCGGACTTCTTTCTTAGCACACTCACACTAGGACCTTTTGGACTGAGCTCTGGATGTAATTGTGGTCACTTACATCCACGTCAGGCTGCAATTCCAGTCAGATACATCCAGGAACAGAAGGGGGTTAGCTTTGCCCTGGTGCAAGTTCTGCAGAACTGCGTTCCGAAACCCGGAAGATCCCTGAGACAATAGAATACATCGTCCTCCATTGTCCGGGGGCCTTGGTGGAGACGCCGTAGACATGAAATGGAAGGAGTGCAGCTGGACGGCCCAGATTTCGCTTTTTTTTTTTTTTTTTTTAAAGCCCTTGTGCAAGGCCTCTATCCCTGTGGTGGTAAGAGAACCGCCGGCATTGAGGCTTTGCCTGTCGGGCTGCTCCATCTGTTGGTGGGGAGCGTCACCTGCTGGAAATCGGGTCCAGCGTCCCTTAGGAACATTATCTCAGCACTGAGTTTGTTGGGGCTGCACAAATCACCCTCCCTACTTCTGGAGCTCCTACGTCTTACTGACTCAGTCCCCACCTGGAAAATAGTGGACTTGACGGGCCAGATTTCACAGATACCACCAAACAACAGATTCATTTTTTTCACATTACAACTCAGTGGGAGGGTGTCAAAGCATAACTTGATCGCCTCCACTCCCAACCTGAAATTCACTAGACTATTCAACAATTCAGTAACAGCTGGCATGGGGTAACTCACGGGGGGAAATGGGAAATGGAAACGGAAGACTGCCTCACATAGACAGTGTAAGCATGAGAACGGACTCCAACTCCTGCAGGTGCTCCCCACGGACTCCCCTCTCATCGTGGCAGGAGACTTCAACCTGGCTCCAGATCCCACGATTGACAGAAGGAGCCAAACACAGTCATACGGGTTGGGACAGTCGCAGCAGCACCAAGGATTCGACACCCTGATGTTCAGCCAACTAATGGCCGAACTCCAGTTGGTGGATTAGTATAGAACTATACACCCCACTAAACAGGCGTTCACATGTATAAAATCTCGTGGGTGCGACAACCTATCGAATTCCAGAATAGATCTGATGCTCCTCTCCAAGGACTTGGCTGGCCCATTGATAGAGGCCACCATACTTCCCTTTAGCCCCTCGCGATCCTTCGATCACAAGATGATCGCCATCGGCCTCATCTCGTGCCCCTCGTTTGAAAGAGGACCCAGTTTCTTCAAACTCAATACATCGCTGATCAAACAGCCAACGTTCCAACAGTGTGTTAGAGAATACTGGAGTTTTGGCAGTCCAAAAAACAGGACGCAGGATCAGTGGTAGAATGGTTCAATCAAGGGGTGGCCCAACTAAGAGATACAGTGAAAAAATACTCTATTAAAAGAGCGAGGGAATGAAAAGCAATCTTTGAGGACCTTCTTAGTAATGGGATGACAACCTATGGACAATCACACATACGATAACCTACAACAGGCAAGAGACCGCCTCCAAGAATACCTCGACGCTCCAAGAATACCTCGACGGCCAAGCGGAGACATGGAGAATCCAGGCCAGAATCAAGCGCACCCATACAAACGGGACCATGACAAAAACCTTTTTCCAAAAGGCCAAGATGAGAGCGAAGCAGGCCACCATAATTTCGCTCAAACATCCAGTAAATGATGTGCATCCGGAAGCCACTACCCATACACAGTCACTGATTACGCTGCCAAGTGCTATCAAGATCTGTTCACCTCCAAGATAACCCAGTGGCCTATTGATAGCGTTACGAACGCAAGGTTATAAGTGTTGCAGAGTCTCGAAGCTGTTCTCTCACCAGACCACCGCTCTGCACTGGAATGCCCACTCGCCCGGGAGGAGATTCACGCTGCCCTTCAACACATGGATGATGAAAAAACATCGGGATTGGACTCGTTCCCAAAAGAGTTCAGGCTTGCGTTCTGGAACCTCATGGGATCGGACATCATGGATTACATAAGCGCAGTCCCGACCGAGGGCACATTTGGAGGTCTCATAAACCAAGGTGTAACCACCCTTCTCTACAAAAAAGGCTCGAAGAATGACTTCAGGAATTACAGACCCATAACACTCCTGCCTGTCCCCTACAAACTCGTGGCGAAGGCACTCACTAACCGCATGCTTCCTCATATGTCACACCTCATTCACCATGATCAATCTGGGTTTATACCTGAAAGGAACATACAAGACAATATTCTTCTGGTGCATGAGACTATTAAATACACAAGGCAAAAAAGGAAGGAAGCAGCGGTCCTCTTCATAGACTTTGAAAATGCTTATGATCATGCGGATTGGGTCTTCCTCGACCAGTGCATGAAAAAAATGAATTTTGGTCCTATCTTCAGGAAGTGGGTTGATACCCTCCACAAAACTGCAACGAATAACATAATGGTGAACGACCATCTCTCCAACCCATTCGCGCTTCAACGATCGGTCAGACAAGGTGATCCCATCGCCCCGCTGTTATTCGTTATAGTGATGGAAGCCCTTGCTACGACCATTAGAGCAAATCCAAAGATGTAGAAAATTGAGGTATCTGAAATCCCGCATTGCAGCATTCCATTGACATCACTCTTCGCAGACGATCTAACAATGCTGACCAAAGTCAACCGCTCCTCACTACAAGCGCTGGTCACCACCATACATACGTTCTCGATTGCTTCAGATATGGTGGCGAATTGGGGTTCCAAGACTGAAGGTTGGTGGCTCCACCCCTAGACCTCCCCCCCCCTCCGGACCCAGCGATAGCATGGAAACTTAGGGACAAGGCCATATGAGTGCTTGGAGTCCGTCTTACAGCGCTGGGCCCCCCGCCAGACCATGGAGCCTCCCTGGTGGAGGAAGCCCTGACAAGAATGGGCAGGTGGAAAGAACTGCACACCTCAATAGTGGGCAGAGCGCTCGCACTCAATACCGCAATTTTTTATGCAATGTGGTATAGAGCGGCATGCTGGCTGATTCCACCAAAGCAGATCCAGAGATTGAGAAAGGCAGGAACAACATATGTGTGGAAAAATGATCATGAAGATCCCACGTTCCTCTCTAGAGTGGCATGGCATAGCATTGCCCAACCCAGGTCGAAAGGGGGACTGACAATCTTAGAACCCCACGATCAGCTAAAAACCCTTGCTTTCAAAATCATTATCAGGCTGCGGATGGGAAATGACGTTTTATGGGCCCCTTATGCCCATAGTCAGATTGCCAACCTTGCCCTTTTTTCGCCACCAGAGAGGAAAGTTCACCTGATTCAATGGCTGACCAACCCAGCG